CATGACCGCGCAGTCAGCTTGTCTGAGGCAGGCAGCCTTGCTCCAGGATGGCAGTTGAGCCCCTGCGGTTGAGCTGCTTGCTAGAAGACCCTGAAGCTCCTGACTGGTGAAAGGGGACAGCTGGAAGGAAGCTTCCAGCCCTAAGCCTGGGCCTTACTCGGCAGGAGCGCTGACTGGGGAGGAACAAACACTCCAGGAGGATTTTAGAGATGAAGAGATTTTGTACATGAGGGGACATGAAAACACACACACACACACACACACACACACACACACACACACGATCTGTCTTAAAAAATAATGATGCTCAAAGCAAACATTTAAATTCCAATCTCCACCACCAGGATGATCCCTGCTATCACTTCTGGTTTGTGAAAGGAGGCAGAACTGTCACTTTGCTCTACTTCTATAAACCTTAGCATACTATGATCAGGTGGGGGAAGAAGCATGTTACCCTGTCAGAAAAATTATATGAAACTTGGGTAAAGTTAATGTAGGTTACTGAATATTATTTCAGTACAGTGCTGGGCTTTCTACTGATTGAGCTACTTTTCAACTATGTAGTAACTGATGTTAACTTGTAGATTATTTGTTCAATAAATATATAAATGATTTCTGTACAGTGGAACAGAAAACCTTAAAAGTTCAAATTATTGCCCTGTAAGATATTAACCATTTTTTATATCTAATGATATATGATGCTACCATTTAATTTTCAATATCTATGCAATTTAATATAATATATATTTTTATATCTTTATATTGTATACGTTGCATACACACATCTGCTTCAACTGTTTTCATGATCTTAGCGGTTGTTCATTAATTATGAAAAAAATCTTTCACGTGCTCATTTTTACTTTAAATGAATCTTTTTTTTTTTGGAGACAGTTTTACTTTGTCACCCTCGGTAGAGTGCCATGGTGTCACAGCTCACAGCAACCTCCAACTCCTGGGCTTAGGCAATTCTCTTGCCTCAGCCTCTCAAGTTGCTGGGACTACAGGTGCCTGCCACAACTCCTGGCTATTTTTCATTGCAGTTAAGCCAGGGCTGGGTTTGAACCCACCACCCTCAGTACATGGGGCCAGAACCCTACCCACTGAGCCACAGGTGCCACCCACTTTACATGAGTCTTAATTTCACTTTTTGGAAAATTTACAGCAGCCTCAGACATTTCACCATTACTAAAAACACTCAGTATTTCTTACAAGTCTGAATTCCCTCTCCAAATCAATTCCATACCTTACTTTTCAAAAGTCTCCTGCCTGAAGTTATGGGAGTTTTTTCTTTCTTTCTTTCTATTTTTTTTTTTTTTTTGAAGGCAGAGTCCTATTTTGTGGACCTTGGTAGAGTGCTGCAGAATCATAGATCACGGCAACCTCAAACTCTTGGGCTCAAGCAATCCACTTGCCTCAACCTCCCAAGTAGCTGAGACTACAGGTGTCCCTCACAGTGCTGGCTGTCTTTAGAGACGAGGTCTCACTCTTGCTCAGGCTGGTTTTGAACTCCTGAGCTCAAGGGATCCACCTGCCTCAGCTTCCCTGAGTAGTAGGATCATAGGCGTGAGCCACTGCACCCAGCAAGTGTGTTTTTAAAAAATGTTCCCAAAATACACATAAAATTTACCATTTTAACCATTTTAAAGCATACAATTCAGTGGTACATTCTCACTGTTGTGCAGCCATTGCCACTAGCTCTGCAACTTTGTCACCTCAAAAGGAATGTACTTATCATGTGAAAAGTACCATTTTTGTACCATGAACAGACTAATATAAACTTAGCAACCTTGGTAACTTTTTATTGAAAACACTTCATATAAAAAGCTAGTCTTGGTTGGCACCTGTGGTTCAGTGGGTAGGGCACTGGCCCTATATACCGAGGGTGATGGTCCAAACCTGGCCCTGGCCAGCTAAAACAGCAGTGGCAACTGCAACAAAAATAGCCGGGCATTGTGGCGGGTGCCTGTAGTCCTAGCAACTTGGGAGGTTGAGGCAAGAGAATCGCCCTAGCCCAAGAGCTGGAGGTTGTTGTGAGCTGTGACACCACCACACTCTACCGAGGGTGACAAAGTGAGACTCTGTCTCAAAAAGAAAAAAAAAAAAAGCTAGTCTTTCTAAAATCTCATTCATTTACAACTTTATTAAATGATTTCACCTCTAAAACTTTATAACACTTAGTTATTTTTCATTTATGTAACTTTATACTTTCCAGCATGCAGTCTATAACTGAAAGCACTAAATGTAAGTGTGCTAATTTTGTATTTATTTTACTAATTTTTTTCTTTTTTGAGACAGAGCCTCAAGCTGTCACTCTGGGTAGAGTACCGTCGATCACAGCTCACAGCAAACTTCAACCACCAGGCTCAAGCGATTCTCCTGCCTCTGCCTCCCAAATAGCTGGGACTACAGGTGCTCGCCACAATGCCCGGCTATTTTTTGGTTGTAGCCATCATCGTTGTTTGGCAGGCCTGGGCTGGATTCAAACCCACCAGCTCAGGTGTATGTGGCTGGCGCCTTAGCAGCCTGAGCCACAGGTGATGAGCCTATCTTACTAATTTTTATACTTTCCCAAAGCCTATCCCTGATAATTTTTTTTTTTTTTTGCAGTTTTTGGTGGGGAACAGATTTGAACCTGCCACCTTCGTTGTATGGGGACAGTGCCCTACTCCTTGAGCCATAGGTGCCACCCAATCCCTGATAATTTTTTAACATGGTATATTTTAGTCAAGACGGTGGAATATAGGAAGTTTAGAAAGTCATTGAAATTGCATAGAAATTGTGTCTATTTACACACATTTTAATATGCGATCTAGTTTTCTATGTGATGTCACATTCTTCTCTGTTTCACCTAATATAATCAATAGAATTTTTTTTGAGATGGTGTCTCACTCTATTGCCCTCAGTAGGTGCCATGCTGTCACAGCTCATAGCAACCTCAAACTCTTGGGCTTACACAATTCTCTTGCCTCAGCCTCCCAAGTAGCTGGGACTACAGGCAACCGCCACAATGCTTGGCTATTTTTTTTTATTGTTGTTGCAGTTCTCATTGTTGCTTTAGCTGGCCCAGGCCGTGTTTAAACGCACCAGCCTTGGTTTATGTGGCTGGTGCCCTACCCACCCAACCATGGGCACCACCATTTTTTTTTTGAGAGAGAGTTTCACTTTGTCACCCTCACAGCAACCTCCAAATCCTGGGCTGAAGCAATTCTCTTGCCTCAGCCTCCAGAGTAGCTGGCACTATAGGCACCCACAACGCCGGGCTATTTTTACAGACGGGGGTCCCACTTTTGCTCAGGCTGGTCTTGAACCTGTGAGCTCAGGGCAATCCACCAGCCTAGGCCTCCCATAGTGCTAGGATTACAGGCGTGAGCCATGGCGCCTGGCCTTTAGAATCAATATAATTTCATGTCAATAAACTAATTTCAGCTGCTACATGGTATTTCCTTACCACTTTACTTGGTCTACAAACATAAAAGAAATCCTACTCCTGACTCAATTTGATTGGTGCACTACTCTTTCAGCCTTTACATGGTATTGAAACAGCACTTGTACTTTGAACTGTAAAATGTACAGATTCGGCATATTTAATTCCTCAGACTGGCCTCATCCCAAATTTCCAAATGCATTTCTCACCAAACTTTTACCTATTTCATGCAGACAGAGTAAATCCATGCTACTGGCAGATTTTCCAATTACAGTTTTCTTTACACTACCACTGCCAACTTCCAAGAATGACCTAATTACTTCCTTGTCCTACCTTTCAGTGACCAATTTAAGTGAGTTCTTCTCTGAAACATTCTTCAGGTTATCAGAGTTTACAGTAATCTCTCCCTTCTTAAACTCAAAGGATGAGATTTTCTAATGAGCTTATATTTGGTATAATAGTAATTAGCTTTGTTAGTAAGTGTGCACAATGTATGTGCACCTGGTTTTTAAAATGAAGGGTCATTAATGCCAATTTTAACACACAACTTTATTGAAAACAGACTCAAATAGAGAACCATATATTTAAACAACGAATAGCAGGGTAGCTTACTCCAGTGATTCCGTTCATTGGAAGCTTAATACTGAAAAATATTGCAATCTGGACAAGACAAGTATCAACAATGTTTACAGCTCTAAGAATTCATTTGGCATTCACAAAATGATCCAGCGCAGAACAAGAGTTTGACAAAGTTAACATCAGCATTGGAAATATATAAGTTACAACATGAAACCAGACTATGAACACCAAAGCACTACTCAGGTCTCTTTGGGAACATAAGGCTGATAAGCGGCAGGTGATTAATCATATTAGCTTTGTTGTCCCACCTCAGGATCTTTCTGATTGTCTATTTGAGCTTGTAGTTGCTTAGCTAACTCCTCAAATTCACGAAATGCAGAAATAAGTGGCTCAAGATTGAAATCATCATCAATTAAGGACATCCTTCCTTTTTTTATGATGTTACTGATATTGTGAAACATTTTAATAACAATTTGTATATTCTCATTTGTCTCTTCTATGTTAAAGAGACCCACAAATATTGAAAGAGCTTTGGCACTGAATAGTTTTTTTGCCACAGCAGGATTTTCAGACAAATTCAGTAGCATTTTCAGAACATGAAACTTTGTTCCTGCATTGGCTGTGGTCAATAAGGAGAGAAACCCAGACATATAATTGGCAATCAGTGTGTGATAGTCAGTAGTCACAGTAAGGTGTCTAAGCATCCTTATTCCAGTTAGCTGCTCAAGGGAATTCACACCATGAGCAAGGGTTTCCTCACACACTTGACATATGAATGTCTCAATCATGTTTAGATTTGGATAAGGTGGTGCCATGTGAATCATATTTTCCAGAAAACTTGTCCTAACTCGGGAGGACGGATAATTGAGCAAGGTTTCAATAAGTGAGACAACTCCAGAATCTCGAATGAAATCTCGGGTAAATTGAGAAGCACTTCTCATACCCATTGCAATTTTAGATATTTCATGAATAAAAGGATCACGAATTTTGTCCATTAACAAAAGGAGTTCTTCGAACTCTACAGAACCAATTTTAAGCTCACACTGTATGCAGTTGCAGGACCAGTTCTCGGCCTCTGCACTCTCCTTAGCCCTAAGATGCTCTCGAATTTCCTGGACTGACCGGTAGGAAGGGTCATACTGAAAGGGGAACTCAGAGTCAGGCAGAGCAGATTCCTGCTCTTCCCCTTCAGGGCTAAGTTCTGCCTGTTTGGGCTTTGCCTCAAATATTTCAGAAGCCTCTTCAGGAATTCTAAATGGGTTAGTGGAAGGGAAGCCAACCCCATGACAAGGACCAGGTTTGAATTCAACAGTAACCTCATCCCAGGTTTGGGGCCTAGAGGATGTATTAAGCTCCTCCTCAGCTGAATCTCTGAATCGGTTACTGGCCTTGTAAACAGGATTAGGATTTAGGTCAAAGCAAGCCTCATCTCTATCCCAGAACCAGGACCCAAATACGGCCTCTTCTTCAGACTCTGGCCTGGCCTCTTCCCTAGCCACAGCCCCCAAGCTGGACTTTTCCTCAGCCCAGAACAAGGATCCACCAATGGCCCCCTCTTCAGCCCCTGGCTCAGACTCACAGGTTGCTGAAGCTCCAGCCTCCAAATTGGACTCTTTTTCCGCCCAGAACCAGGATCCAATAAGGACCTCCTCCTCAAACCTGGGCTCTTGTTTGACTCTATCACCGTTACGAACATCCTTCCGGGCCCTAGGTTTCAGGATGGTATTAGGCTCTTCCTTGGCTCGGTGCCTGAATCTACTATTAGCCTCTTCTCCAGGCATAAACCAGGACTCCTTATAAAACTCATCTTCAGACTCAGATTCAAAACAGTCCTCTCTCTTTGTCCTGAGCTTGGGCCTAAAATTTGCCTCTTCCCTGACTCTAGGCCTGAACAAGTTATTGGTATTTTCTCCAGCCCAAAACCCGAATGGGTTGCCAGCCTCATCCTCAGACCCAGACCAGGAATCAACGTAAGGTTCTTGCTTGGATCCGGGCCTGGACCTGGGGTTAGTCTGATGTTTAGCCCTGTGCCTGGATCTGGTATTGGCCTCTTCCCTGGGCCATGATCTGATACTGGTCTCTTCCCCAGCCCAGAAAGAAGACACAGTAGAAGTCTCATCTGCTGACCAAAATCCAGACTCATTCGAGGCCTCCTCTCTGGCCCTGGGCCTAGGATAGCACCAAGACCCCATGTTAGTCTCATCCCCTGGTCCAAACCAGGATTGGATTCCTTTCTGACCTTGAGAGCCAGGAAAGGTTTCAGAATCCATGTTAGATAGTTCTCTATCCATAGAGAGGCCCTTAGATTTACTAACTGACCCAGACTCAGTACTGACCAGTGGCCAGGCAACAGCATTAGTCTGGGACACTCCCTCTGCCTGTGACATTGCCTCAGCTGCAAAGTCAGTCTGAGCCCACGCATGTACTTCATTCTTGGGCCTTGTCCCAGGAATTGCCTTAGTCTCAGCCTTAGGACGTGTTCCACGTACTGCCCTGCCATCAGTTTTGGGCCTTGCCCCAGCCATAGCCTGGGTCTCAGTTTTGGGTCTGGCCCCAGTCATTGCCTGAGCCTCAGTCTTGGGTCTTGCCCCAGACATTGTCTGGGCCTCAGTTTTGGGCCTGGCCCCAGGCACAGACTTGGTCTCAGTTTTGGGCCTTGCTCCAGTAGTTCCCTGGGCCCTAACCTTGGGCCTGACCACAAGAGGGACTTCGTTCTCTCTCTCAGCCCCAACTGCAACCTCTTCCCCAGCCTTCTTTTCAGGCTTAGCCTGGGAACTAGGCTCAATCTCGGCACCAGTCATGATACAAGTTACAGAGATTACGCAGTTAAATAGTCCTCCCTCAGTCTCAACCTTGATCACAGATGTGTCACAGGTTTGTTGCTTTACACGCCGATCTTTTGGTAATTTAGGATATGAGTTTGGCAACAAGAGTTAGAGTCAATCAGCCACCTCCCCACACACAGACTCAGTGGGTGAGACAAAGTGCAGAAGAGGTGCAAGCAAGCTGGGGGAAGATGAATGGCTCTTGGGTGGGTGTAGAACTTGTTGAGGGTGGTAGTCAGCAGCAACCCCAGCACCACCAAAGCTGCCACTAGAGGTGGATCTGGGAAGAGAGAATGAAATGGGGCTTTGAATCTCTTCCAGTTGTTTCACCCATGCAGAGACTTACACAGAGACTGGTGTTGATGCTGAGTGCGACAGCTGGGTTATGAGAAAGTCTCTCAGGCCCTGCTGCCTGCTACAAAACAAGTACAGGGATGCAGGAAAGTGTGCTGGATATGGGAGGGGCTGAGGAGTCCCCAGACTAGACCCTGATCAGTCCCAGACCAGCTGTGGTCTTTAATACCCTACCCAAAGTGTACCCACTCTCATACCAACCTTCATTGATGTGGTGAAATTTCCCCCTCCTTTTCTTGTTCACGTGGTGTCAAGCCCCACAATCAACAGCAAGGGTTCCTACAGACAAATAAACACATAGGAAAAAATAGAGTTTCACTGCTGTGAAGAGAGGCACACATATTAGCCCTGAGACAAATATCTGTCTTCCATTCAAGGGTCCAATCTGTCCAGTGGTTCCTGTTCTCAGGTCTTCTCCTCCCATCATAGCCCAATCTACACCTACCTCAATATTCCTAATTTTCCTGCAAGAAATGGACAAGGGATGCTGTGGCAATGTGCAAATCTAGCAGAAAGTAGAAAGAGTCCTTCACCCACTTGGGTTAAAGCCACCTGCCATGCTCTTCCTCTATAGCTACCCCCTGCATTCCCCTCTTTCTCACCAAACTCCAGAGGTTTGAGCCAGTGTCCTCCTCTTTTCCTTTCTTGCAGAACTGACCAGCCTTAAAGCAGGCCTAAGGATGAGAAACACACAAAAAGGTAAGACAGTTAGGAAATGAGGGCAGCAGTTGAGCACTTAAGCAGTTGGGACAGATCAACGCCAAGGACAGAAGTCCCCATATTATCTGTCTTTCAACATTCAGGGTCCTGCTGGTGGAATATTCTCTTCTCATTGAGGCCCTGTTGCAGTTTGCCAGAGATAACAACTCCTTCTCTTGACGTCATAGTCTTCCCATTACTCCCTTCTCCAGTTCTGAGGATTCACCACTAGGTGCACTATATCCCCTTGCTCTGCGCAGCATAAAATGGGGGAAGGGTGTCGCATATTCTAGAAAGCAGGTTGTGAAGTAGTATTTGCAAATATGACTCTCATCACTCCCACCTCCAAAGCCCATCTTTTTTTGCCCCCACCTGGCCAGGGTTGGGAAGGAAGATGGGGGAAGTGCCTGGAAGGCTGTTAGAGAGGGGAAGATGAGCAGTGTTTCTGGATGCCAGACCTGCTCTGGTCGAAGTCACCCCACCCCGATTTGGGTCTCCAGTCAGTGCCTGATGCCTGCCCCCCAAACCCTACACACCTCCAGAAATCCAGGCCATTTTCGAAATCCTCCTTTTTCTCAAGCCTCTCTTCTACAGATGCTCACTGTAGCCTGTCAGAATATGCCAGACCTACCGCGCAGACAGGAGACTTTGACATCAACTTGGAGCCTGTGGGAAGGCACAGCACCCCGGACGCGGGGCCCAACGAGCACCTTACGGGAATCAGGGCTGGAGTAACAAACGCCACCCACCGCCCGCCGGCTGGGCAAAGGGCTCTACACAGCCCCTGTCCCCAGCGGCCTTCCCGGGCACCCCCCAGCCCATCTCCCACTTCGCCATTCCTTCTGCAGCAGCCTCCCCCCACAGCCCTCACTGGGGGCAGACACCGGTGAGGGCGGCGCACGGGCACCTGGAGAGCTGGCTGGGAAGTGGTCAGCGCGGTTCACCTACAGACTACCTGATGGTGCCGCTCTGGCCACCCCCTCCATCCTTGACCCAGCCTGTAGTGGCCACCTCCCCCTCATCTCCAGGGGTCCCAGTTCCCGGGCACTGCACACCTTCCTCGGGGACGGGCTCCAACCGAGTCGCCTCCTCCTTGCCGGGCTGCCAGGGTCTGGGGTACAGGCTGCCAGCTGGTCAACAGAGGGGGACCACCCACGCACCCCCCAACACACCCTCACTTGCCTTCCCAGGCTCAGGGCCCAGGTCGTCGGCCTCCCCTCCTCTCCTCTCCTCTCCTCTGCTGGGTCTCTGCTCTGCTCTGGCTGCTCACTCGCCCGGATTCCCACCGCCTTCCGTGCGATCAGAATTGCAAAGAGGCGGCCCGCCCCCCACGCCCGCCGCTGCAGCAAACTGGGCAGGGGCTACGCAGGATGCGGCAAGAACCGCTCGCCTCGAGGGTGTCGGGAAGGGGGCGGAGGGATACGGCGCGAAGTGCTCGACGCCCCCTCCCGGGCCCACCGTAGTTCCGACCAGAGGTGGGCGGGGCCACCAGGATCCTGAGCCTGAGGGGCGGGCTAGCACCGGGCTGCCTCGGTAGGTGGTAGGGCCCCCGCGGACCCTAATATGGAGACCACCACCACATTTCTGGTGTTGCTATAATTCGGGTACCAGCGGGCGGCGAGGGGCGAGGGGCAGGATCGGGGGCTGGGAACTGCAGTGCTGGAGGAACAGCGGATGGATACCAAGCTGCCCCTTGGTATGTCTGCACCCCACACTCTGACTCGCTTTCCCGCTCCCCCTTCCTGGACGTTAATAGGGGAAGGGTGTCTGGTCTGCAGGCTCTGAAGTGGAGGGTCTCGGGCCAGGTTGCCCTGGAGGTCTAGGGTGGCCCTCCATGGCTTTTGTGTGTCACTGCTTTGTGGAGTGTCACCTGCTCTTAAGTGAACTGGGTGGGAGCTCACAGAAAGGCCCCACCACTGCCTAGACCTGACCTCTAACCCTAGGGAACTAACCATTGGTCTACACCAAGAGGCATTCATTCTGCCAGGCTGCTTTTTCTCATTCCAATTGACATTGTGCTGTCACCAGCTGCTCATAAATGAGGGCCTTTCCCTGTCAGGATCACACAGTCCTTTCTTTTTGCTGCCCAATAGCCAAGCGTTAGGCACCAGGTAGGGTTGACTTGGTCCTGGTTTCTTTTCATTCTATGGCACATCTCTTAAAAGGCACATGCACGTCCTCATGATACTTGGTTGTCTGGAAATGTAGCAGGCGTTCCCATCAGCTTGGATTTCAGCCACCTGCCATATTACATGCCTTCATTTGCCAGTCATTCTCAGGGGGACCCAGTATCCCCTGTCCTTGCATTCACTTCACTAAGACACAAATCTGGTTGTTTTGGAATTCTCCCTTTCATCCTCACATCCTTTCTCTACTGTTAAACCCCTCTCCCTGCCTGCTGCATGGGACAGAGTAATGTGGTTAGTCCTACAGTTAATGATGTTGTGTGCTGTCCATTTTAAAAGTCAGTCACACAGAATCCTCATTGTGTTTGACAAGTAGCTCTACCCCAATGATGTCTATGTCCTACTGAACATGTAACATGTTATGTCACCTGGCAAAGGACAATTACGGTTTAAAATGGAATTAAGGTTGCTAATCACCAGAATTTAAAATAAGATTATGCTGGATTATCCTGGCTTATGTAACCACAAGCATACTTTAGATGTGGAAGAGGGAGGCAGAAGAGTCTGTGTCAGTGAAACAGCAGAGAAAACTAGACAGGTTGTTGTTGTCTTTGAAGATGGAAGGAAGCCAGGAACCAAGGAATGTAGCCTTTTGTCAGAACCTTGAAAATACAAACAGATCTCCTCCTAGAAGCCCCAGAAGAAAAGTAGCTCTTCTAACACCTTGGGGTTTTTTTTGGTGCAACTTTTTTCCAATTTCCAATTTCCAAGACTATAGGGTAGTGAAATTGTATTATATTCAGCTATCCCATGTGCAGTAATTTCTTATAGCAGTAGTAAGAACCAACCACATACTCACCATCCTGAAGAAGTCTATTCCCCTGACTTTCTTAACTGTGCTTCAATCTCTGGGGAATCTGTTTTGGAACTCATCTCTTACACTAGAGCCACACGTATCCTTGTCTTTGTTGTTTTATTTACTGGCCCTCAAGTCTCATCTTGGAGAAAGTACCTTTTACTTGAAAACTGCTAATATCTTCCAGGATGGAAAGGGAAGCCTATTTTTACTATGAATTTTCATATGTTTTCATACCTGTTTTTTTCTATTCTTGTATGTAACTGTGTAATATTTAGATGATAGGAAGAAAATATCTTAGGATGATTCTGTACTGTGTCTGGAGATGAATGGATATTATCTATTAGATGGGAACCACTTTATCTGTGTTGTTTAAATGGCTTTTGATGAATGGTGGAGTTTTCTATTTATCTTTGTTGAATAAATGAAATACACCAAGTACTGTAAGAAAGCAGAGAAACAGTTCAGCAAAGGAAAAGAACGCCATACATGCCCACAAATCCCAAAAGACCTCAGGTCCCTTTCTGCCAAGCTTGGAATTTACCTGAGAGAGTATGCTGTAGCACAAAAAAGAAAAAAAAAAGATATATATATATATGTATTCCAGATTCTGTCCTAGAACTCTTTGTCTAAACTCTTAATCATGAAGAAATTCTTCTTTGCTTTCTTCTAAAAGCTTTATGGTTTAAATTTTATAGATAGGTCTGTGGCCTGTGTCAAGTTTACTTTTTTGTGTGTGGTGTGAGACAGGAGTTAGGTTCATGTTCTTCCATATGTACATGTATTCCACTTGTTCAGACATCATTTGTTGAAAAGACTTGCCCCTGGTTTGATTCCTTGGTAGAAAAGGCTCATGGTTTCATAAGTGTGGATATATTCCTGGGCTGTTCCACTGATCTATGTGTTGACCCTATGCCATTACCAAACATTCTCATTTGTTATAGCTTTTTAGTAAGTAGTGGATGGAGTCAGATAAATACGTCTTCCAATAGTGTTCTTCTTTTTCCAAATTGATTGAGGAAGCTCTCTTCCTTTTCTTTTTTTTTCACCCTGGTTTTCTCATTTTTTTTTCTCATCATGGATGGGTGCTGAAATTTGCCAAAATTTATTTCATCTATTGAAATGATTACATAAGTTTTCCTCTTCATTTTGCTAATAGAATGAATTACCTTGATTTTCAAATGTTAAGCCAATCTCATAATTCTGGAGTAAATTGCATTGCTCATAACTTTTATATTTTTATTACAGATTTTTGTATTTAAATATTCAGTATCCACTTACTGGCTATGGTGGCCAGTGGGTACCACTCTGGACAGCACAAATACGGAATTTTTTTTCATAGAAATATTTCATCATAGAAAGTTCTGGCAGACAGCCCTTCTCAACAGCGATTTATTTCTAAAGCATAAAGTTGATGATATTACTCCCTCACATCTAAAACAATGAGTTATTGACAGGTATAGGACTCTTAATCTAGCGTCAGTATGCCTCTTGACCTCCTTTTATTATTATGTTTCCATGCCTTTTTATCTCCTCTTGTCAGCTTATTTGTAGCTGCAGAGTGCTCACAATTTCATTGTGCTATCTTTTATATTACTCCCTTCTGGAATGTCTTGCCATTTCTCCCATACAACTAACTTTTATTGCACCACAATATTTTGCTCTAGTCCTTTCTGGTTGTTGTAGAGTCCTTTTTTTCTCTTCCCATTGTATAAGGAGTTAGCCAAAGTCTTGTCACCAGATAATGCACACACCATTTTCTAAAAAGAAGACTTCCTGAGAAAGTGTAATTTCACTACAAGTATAGTTTTTATGCTAAAACTTACTGTAAGTTTATGCTAAGCTTTAGGCATAAACCCATCAAAACCTTTCAGCATGTTGAACTTCTGGTTCTGAGAAAGGTGATTCAAGAACAAGGAACTGCCAAGTCCTAGAATGTGGTTCTCCTTAGTGAAAGTGTTTGGGCTACTTGAAAAGGAAGCTGTTTAGAGGCTACTGCTGTTTTCTACCTAATTTCTAAAATACTGAGCTTCTGTTTTACACGGAGAGATTAAATATTCTTTGGAGGGCGTGCTTTTTTATTTCCTATGTATGATATAGCAGTTTTCAGTGAGCATAAGAGAGAAAATTTGAAGAATTTTCTATATAGACAATAATGTTATTTGTAAACAAAAACAGTTATTTATTTCTTCCATTTCTGTATACCTTTTACTTGATTTGCTTGTGTTATTGCATTAGCTAGGGCTTCCATACAATGTTGAATAGGAAAGGTGAGAAGGAACATCCTTGCCTTGTTCTTAATCTTAACAAGGAAGTATGTTGGCCTGGCACAGTAGTTCACGCTTGTTAATACTAGTTCTCTAAGGTGGAGGTGGGTGGATTGCTTGAGCTCAGGATTTTGAGACCAGCCTGAGCAAGAGCAAGACCCATCTGTACTAAAAATAGAAAAGTTAGCTGGGTATTGAGACAGATGCCTTTAGTCCCAGCTATTTGCAAGGCTGAGGCAAGAGGATCACTTGAGCCCAAGGGTTTGAGGTTGCTGTGAGCTATGATGCCACAGCACTCTACTCAGGGGCACAGAGTGAGACTCTGTCTCAAAAAAAAAAAAAAAGCATCTGCTTTCCCACCCTTATGATATTAGCTGCAGGGTTGTTTTATTTTTGTAGATATTC